TCCAAGCATTCCAGTTCTAAGGGAAATTTGAAAACTAGAAAGTACATATCATTAATCTAAAGAATAGAAGGACCCGTCGCGACGGATGGATTAAATAAATTCATCAAAACAATAGTTGTACCTACACATACATAAGTGTAAATGTATTAATGATGGAGGGGTTAATCTAATACTTCGCCTCGCAGTCAAGTGGTCCCAACCAAGCTCACGATTAGACTATCAAAACTTTTAAACTTATTTATTGAAAAATATTACAATCAGTCTCAAGGACATTTATAATAGTGCTCAGAGATCACATTCACACTCTATGTACGATAAATAAAATAAACTAAAATCAGAAAACTATTATTCCCCTACATCCAAACATTCTATTAACAGTTTTATGATATAATCCTCGGGTGGGAACATGCGGCCTCGGAGGATTCGGAGGAGGAAGAATTAATACTTAACAATTTTAGTTATTACATGTAAAGAATTGGCAGAACCAATATACTTTTGCATTCGACTCTTCCAATTTCGCGTTCGGGCTTAGTTAGATTTCTCCTATCTAAAAAATTACATTAATATCTCTATAGTAATAAGCTAATAGGTAACTGCAAGACTGTTGCGAGACTTTTGCACAAGTCCAAGACCAAGACCAAGATTGAGTTTCCAAGACCAAGACTCACCTTGGCCTCGCATTTGGGCAACACTAATAAAAGTGAATTCACGAATATATTAGAGTAGAAAAAAAAATGGGATAGATGCAAATTCATTTATGTTTTCCTAAAATGTACAATAATGATTATAATAAAATTTCGACCACTTGGCGAACACTAGTATAGTTTAATTCCATTTATAAAGTGTATATTCGAAGAAATACGAGATAAATCATATAGCTACATAAACTTTATTTTTAAAGATTTTCAAGATTGAGAAATGTAAAGAGGGAAAAAAAGATGAGGAAAAAAGAATTATAAAAGAGGTAATCGCTAAGTCTACGTCAGAAAGAAGGCATCTAGAGCCGGAGTTGGGATGATTTGATTCAAGTTAAAAAACGAGATATTCCCGGACGGGTTCCTTCTCATCTTAACGAATCAGACAAAGTGGATTTTTCAATATTTCAGATTAAGGAGGCAGGTTCACAAAAGCGCCCCTCCCCCCTCACCACCCCCCAGCAATCTCCTCAAACTCCTCTTTCACCTGAAAACTCCGCCATTGTTCCAATCAAGTGCACCTCCTTCCTCTCTTCTACCGTCCACTTCTGAATTACTCGAAACAAAAAAAAACTTTATATAAAGCAATTGATTCAGCTCGACTACCTTCCATCAGCTCTTTAACAACTTCCGCGAAGTTGCTATAGAAAATCCAACAGTTGAAAAATAACTTAAGATACAGGGGATGAAAATCGAAGCAAAGTGATTGAATAATTCAATACCATCAACTAATGAATGCAGACAATACTTGTTGACTAAAGCTTTATTGAACGACTAACACAACCAGTAATACCTTGAAATTTTTAAAATTAAATTTAGATGAATAAATTGAAAAAAAGATTTTCCTTCATTTTTTAAAAAATAGGTATTAAGATTTTAAGAGGAAACCACGATTAGCCCATAGTAAGAGAATAAAATTAATTTATCAGAACACTGACCGAATCCAAGATTTAATTTGGGGAGCTTCAACCCGAAGCTTTTTTTTTTATACATACGACGATAATAACTTTGGAAGAAAACATCTACCTATATGTTATAGTGTTTAAGTTATTCTTGAAGTCCTGTTTATAATTACACGAACAATCTTTTAGAGATAATTTTTTTCATAAGACATGGTTACATTTTACATTCAGCCTGAAAGGTCTCCCTCCTCGTAGATCCGCATGTGCATCAAGATACTGAACATGTTTATAAACCTTAGATTAAGAGACAGTTTAGTTTAGTTTCTATTTATTCATTTATTTTTAGACATAAATATAATGAATAATTATATAGATACATTTCAGTATGATATAAATAAGGTTATATTTGTTCAATTCTACAGAATAGGGTTTTCTAAATTTCTATTGAAGATAATGGAGTGACTTCCTTCATAAAAAAAAAGCCAATTTTTTTAATATAGCTTCAATGTTAACCGATTCTAGTAATTTTGTTTCATGACCCAACTTGAACAATTTAAATAAAATCACTGGGAACAGTTTGAGTTTAACCTATAAAACAAAAATTGACTTTTTCTCCGCTTTCTGAAAATGAACAATGTTCCTCTTTGATATGAGGCCACTCAATTAATTATGGGTTTTAAAGAAATCTACGTCTGATAGTTAACGTAAAAAGTGTAATTAAAACATTTTTTTGAAAAGTATAAATTAGCTAAATGGCACGAATATCATTCAAAATTTATTTCCAGGTTGAGGTTTTTGATATTTCATCCTGCCTACGATTTTACTTACTTATAAAATTAGTTAGTTCAAATAAGGAATACCAACATACAAAATAAAAGGCATGGGGACCAATCTTTATGAGAAATCCGGAAATGGTATTTTCTGAGGCTAGAGATACCAAAAGAAGTTCATTTGATCTAATCCAACAACATTAAACTTCCACGCTCAGTGATATCCTATATTGAAAAAACTCTGAAAATACGGTAATTAAATTATAAGACCATGATACTTAAGATCCAAGTATTTAAAAATATTGAACGAAATGGGAATAACCGATTTAGTCTACCTTGTTCGAACAGGGCAGGCACATCATACCCAATGGCACATGAATTCATAAAGAAAACAAAGTGTAAATAAAAGCAGAATAAGAAAAATAGTAGATAATACATAGTTATACTGTATGCAGTCAGTTCCATGTTGACCTCTTGCTCTCTCGTTTGAAACTTTTCATTCCGGAATTAATAACCCAGTCGAAATAATCCACATCAAAAATATATACACTCCTCATAAATTTTTATAGCCAACTTGCACCAAGAAACCTTCCCCTGGGCAAGCCCAAAGATCTTACCTCTCATTATAGAATTCCCAATGAGAACAGAAATATATTTTATGGAATGATGAAAAAATTGAATCACCTACATAAAATGAAACATCTATGAGGGTTTTGCGTAACTGATTACATTTTTTTATCATTCCGTAAAATGTATTTATTTTCTCACTGAGAATCGTTTAATGAGATTTAAGTTCTTCCAAAACAGGTGTGCCCAGAAAGGAGATTCATGGTGGAAATTGCACCATCAAAATTTTTGTGAGGCACATATATGTTTAGCTTCATTTGCATTGAAATATTCTTTGATGAAGAAAAGTATCAAACATGATGGCATACTTCCTTTTATAAGAACCCAAATTAACACTTTTTAAATATTCCAGAATGCTCAGTGTTGAATTTCCACATGAGAATGAAGCCCAGCACAAGGAAAGGTATTAAGTTCTAATCAGTCCTTTAGGAGCTCTACCATGGCATGATTGTCTTTATTTACTAATGGATCAGGAGTTCTTATTTCTTATCCTGGTTCTGGTACTAATTCAAACCAAGCTCATTCCAAATAAATTTTAAGTACCCATAAGGTTTGAGCTTATTCTCTCCAGCTTGCTCCCTCCTTTCTGGTTAATTACATGAATGTTCAAGCCTCATGCATTGTACAATTATGAATTATAATGTAAGAGCTTGAAATTATAAATACCTCTTTGTCTCAGAACATTAAAAGTGAAAATTAAATAATTAGTTAAGTAATTAAATAATTATTAATTAAAATATTTAAATAATTAGCTAAGTAAGCAAAATGAAAATGGTTCTGTTTTATTTATTTGTATAGCAAATATTTATTTATTAACTTTTATTAATAACTAGCCACTCTGCAGAAGGTCTAAAGACTATAGTGCATATAAAGTGTACTTTGTAAATTTGTTTAATTCCTGTTCAAAAAATAAACATATTACACCTTTTTTAGGAGTAGATACTATATTGAGGCCTTCTCCTATCTACAAACTCTTCGACAAAAGACAAATCAGTTCAGTGTATATTTGACAAACTAACTGTTAAATAAATGTAGGGTTTTGTTTTTGGATGGCATTATTTTTTAGCTTTCTTGGTTCAGTTTTGAGAAGCTGCATGAAAGGGGTATATGATAGCAGAGTTGGCCAAAAATTACGTGATGTACGACTTAATTATAGTCGCTATAAATAATCATACTTTTCATCATCTCCACTTTGGCCTATTTATTGAAATTAGCATTACAATTTTTTTTATTTTTTTTTTTTAAACAAACTTTTATACAATTGATAGAAAGGCTACAAGATAGTTTGAAAATAATATTCATCATTGAGCAACCTATCATTAAAATAAAAAGAGTCCAACAGGCTCTCGACTCACAGATGAGTCCACTGTGGCCTGGACCCGATTCCATATCAACTGATACATGCGTTCACCTTTGTTAAAGGGTTAAGGCTAGGTATGCTCCAGAATGGCTTCCCACAACTCAGAGTCTATCAACAGCTGATAGAAAATAAAATAAATTTTCTCCCCACAAGACAAACTTAAAAGTTAAGGGTCCAGAGCCCACTGATAGTTCATTTATCCCAATGATAACAAGATAACTCATCAACATAATTTTTAATTATTTATTATTATTTGTAAAGTGTTTTAAGGGTTAATAATATCATTTTTATTGTAAACTTTGATGCTTGCAGTTTTCGGATTCGTTTTTGTACTAGTTCACATTTTATACTCTAAATAATTTAAAACCATGCTTTAAAATCTTTCTTAATTACTAATATGCCATTTTATTTATCATATGGAGTTGATAAAACCGAAGTAAGTGATCCACCAATAGGGTGACTTTAAATAAATAAAAATTACAACATTAATATGAATTGAAACTTCAATAAAAATAAAAACTTTTTATTCATTAATACAGAGCAGTATTTATAGTATAATTATTATGGGTTGGCCCATATAAAAAATGACTTAAAAATTCAAGAGTCTTGTTCAAAAGTATGTGTCAAATAGCACATTTTTTAAAAATTACTTGGATAAATATGCACTTATTATATTTTTTGAAAACCATTTCTCAGTAAACTGTAAATGGTCGCCTGGCACAGATAAGAAATGAAGTTTACCAGCCTCGTCCAATGCCTTAAGACCAAGAGAGTCCTACAAAGTCATTGGATTTAATAAGAACATTTAAGCAATTAAATATAAAATATTAATCAGAATTATAATGATTTCAATAGAAATAGTTAAAATATTAGCTTATCAATTAGAAAAAATAAAGTTCATGACTACACTACAGAATATCCGATACTAACTCATCAATAATTTGTTTCCCCTGAAACTCAATACTTACATTTTTATATAAATCAGAATCTTGTAGGGAGGTAATTTGGACAGCTTGTCCAGGAGTATAGAATCCAAACCACTCAGATTCGACAGGTTGTACCATTGTGTCATTATCAAATTTTACTAATACGAAATTATCAAGAGATAAGAGATTATCTCGGTATGAAGTATTCAAATGACGTTCATTGTTAATATCTGCTAGGAAGTGACTATACTGTTTATACTCCCCTTCATTAAGAGGATCGTGCCAATATTCAGCTTGAACAAACTGGTTTTGAACCCAACTGAAAGGCATATGATTTTAAGAAATACTCGTTTGAGCAATAAAAATAAAATGAGGTAAAAACAAATTGGCTTTATAAAATACAAACCTCCAATAAGCACCTATGTTCAACATTTTTCTTAAATAATCACACCATTTATGTTTGGAATAAAAACAGTGCGGTAAACCGTAAACACCTTGGTGCTGTCCCCCTAACGATATTAGATTTTTTACTTTTGGATTGGGACATCTTTGAGCTACTGCTCTCCTACAAAATAAAATCGGAATTTTTTGTAATAAAACAATGAAATCTTCATCGACTGTTCCATACCTAAATAATTGCAACATCATTGATTTGAAACATTTGGCCAATAAATAATAGATTTACATTCACAATAAACAAACAGATAAAGGTGAAGTTATTTCAAGTCCTACAACTTAAAATACTCTATGATAATAAAGCTAAAATTGATTATAATAAAATTTTACATTAACATTAATAAATAATAGCAGATTATAACCAAACTTCTACACATCTTACTCAGAAGAATAAATAAATGTATGATTATCAGGGTATCTAACGAAACCATTATATAAAATTTTCTCATTTTTCAAAGTTAATGAAATAGCCAGTAACAGGACATAACTGATTTTATAAATCAGAATTTTTACATAATTAGTACAATATTTACAACAAAAATACTGTAATCCACAGTAATGGAGGTCTTATAAAAAAAATTTCTTAACATTTTCAGATATTCCAAGGTTGGGTTATACGAATTTGAATAGCTTGACTTTCATCAAGAGATAAAAATGCTTCACTATGATGTTGATTCATTGATAATAAGAAATGAGAAGCCAATTAACGTTATTGATAAAAAAATAAACAAAAAGTCTCATTAAGATTGGACATAATTAAAAATGATTCAATAACAAGTTTAAATATTTGCATTTAACTATTTTAAAAAATAAAATAATAATGATAATAATTTTATAAACACATATTTTCAATAATAAAACTGAGCTTCATTATTGTTATTTTTTTATTGTTTTTTATATAAATTGAAAGATAATAAATTAGTTAGTAAATTGATATAATTTATTATATTAGCTATTTGTATATCAATGGCTTGCCTCTAAAACCTTGTTACACCATAAAACAAATTTTTTTAAAAGAAAACAAAAAACTATAGTTTAATTAGTAAGAAGAAAAAGCTTTTATTACTTTCATGAAGTTATATGTTGAAAAATCTCTTAAATGGTATAAATATATTAGTGAATTGATCTTACAAGGTTTAAGAAGTCAGCCATCAATATTTTAATACTTAATAACATTTATTGACAATCTTGAATATATGTTTATTTATTATTTTATAATTTAAAATATATATTTGTCTTTAAATAATATTATTATAGGTATAATAAAAAGCTATAGTTAGTATAACATAGATTTATTATGTTATACTAATAATTAACCGTATTATACTAATATAGTGTTAATGTAATATAGTTTAAAATAATAAAGAACATGGAACACACATTAGCGCTTTAAAAGCTGACCAATAATCGGATCACTAGGAGAAGAAATTTTTTTTTAAGAGGAATAGTACGAAAGATAAAACAGAAAAATTACCAACAAATAAAAGAACTTACATGACTATCCACGGATAGAATGAGTGAACTATTCTGACAAATTTGAACAGTAATCATTATTTGTATAACTACTCACATTTTAGAGGAAAATAAATCTTTTAATTACTTAAGAAATCAAGCAATAATTTTCAATTTTCAAATTAGTGTGCAGCATAATGTAAAAATATTATATACCAAACACACAGAATAATAATTATAATGAATGAAACAAAATTGTCAGGATTTACAAACAAGAATTCTTATTAGATTAGCCGATGTTTCGACCCAAACATGTGGGTCATCCTCAGGGCTATCGTTAAGGAGTCGAGACAATAATTCTCTGGAGTAACAAACAATAGACCTGAGGATGACCCACATGTTTGGATCAAAACGGTGTGTAACCTAATAAAAATTCTTGACTGTAAATCCTAATAATTTTATTTCATCCTAATAATTCATTACCCATCTCTAAATAATTATAATGCATCCATTCAGATTTTCTGATAGGTCTAGTGTTAAGTGAAAAATACAATTTTAAATCTTTGCGAGTTTTACATGATAAATATAAAAAGAATAAACATTAATGGAGGCAGTTAATATATCAATTGAAATTAAGAATCTAATTTGTTAATTAAATTAAATACCCTTGTGTGTACTTTAATGAAGCTAGGAAGGGTGCATCAAGAAGCGGGGTAGCTCACTGAGCTTCCAATGTTGAAGGTTCCAGGTTCGAATCTCGGCTCATGGCAGAAAAATTATTTATTCTGTTTCATTGTCCTTGGGATGACCCTGGGGTGGTGAGACCCTCCTGGGGTACCACCAGCCAGCCTCCACAAAGTGGGTATCTTTAATTAAGTAATTGATTAAGGAGGAAAATCTAACGGTTGAGCATGATTCTGGCCCAATCTCTTTGCACAATCGTTGGCCTTGAAACAGTATTTTCCCTAAATAGTACTGAACCCAAGACCCTTCATGGGTTGTAGTGGTACAGGTTTAGGAGGGATGCATTAAAAGTGAAATTTTTTAACTTACCAACCCATTCTAGCTAGGGTGAGATGTTCAAGACTTATCACAGGGGCCCACAACAAAATAAATGCCAACCCAAATTACAGAAAACACTTATTCAATAATTTAAAAGAATCTATAGAATGAATAGGACGGAGCCAAGTAGCAAGAGGCACCACCAATAAATCTTTAAGCTTCAATTCTCACTATGTGAATATACATAAGGCATAGTTATGTATATTAAAATAAATATTTGAATAAATATTATTCGAAGTGTGAATTAATGGGGATGTACATATACTGAAATAAAACAGAAAGCATCAACTATACAACTAGTAATAAATTATTTAAGTATCTCTCCTTCTTTCTTAACAAATAAAATAATGTTTATAGAGAATAGAAATGAAATAATAAAAACAGAGATCATAAATTGAAGAGGAAAAAAAATCATTACAAAAACTGAGCTCCTTGCGAAAATCCAATAGCATTGTAGCCTGAATTCAATAGTGGGTCACTATTTAATTGCCTGCAAGCTTCATCGACCTGGAGGTTAGCATTCATAAAAAAACTATTTTCTGTATCCTCTATGATAGTTTTCCCTATCTGCAATGACACCACATGAACACCTGGTAGAGAATCCTTAATATGTTGAACTATCCTTCCCAAACTCAGAGGATTACAACAATTATCACCTGTTCAGAGAATTAAATTGAGATTTCAAAAATGTATAAAGTAAATACATTCAATAAATTTATATACCCATTCCATGCCACAAAACTACGGGAGTCCAAGCAAAGGCCGTCGTAACTAGTAAAATCAACAAATTAAAAGTCGAATATATCATTTTTCAATACCTATATTCAAATGGACATGGCAAGAAATGTCACCGGCAAAACTTTTCAAAACACTGAACTTTGGAGGGGGGTGACAGCTACCAACTCGACGCTTCATTATTAAGATAAAAATAATTATCAAAAAAGTGCGTCACAAATAAGTTTAAAGATAAAAATATGATATAATTTTCTGTTCGAGGATAGAATATCAGTTGAGAATAAAAATCTGTCAAAAGAATAGCCAATAATTAAAATAAAATATTATAACAACTTAACAACCTGCCATTTTTATTCCTTTTGATGAATGTCATTTATCGTATTGATTCGAAAAGTTATGATATGCATCTTGACCTATTACGAACTGAATCTGTTAATTTTTGATTCTAAAGTATATTTTTCAATTTTAATCGGTATTAGTAAACAATAAACATGCTGCCCATGAACCAAAGTAATTAGTAGCCTCTCTACGTTTGTTAGTGAAGTTGGTTTGGTAACAGTAGGATACATATTTATTTCTAATTCGATCTGCATTATTTTAAGGGACACGAGAAATGGAACTAGCAGTGGGAAATACAGAAATAATGAAAAACATCGTCGCAAAAGGAATACAAACAGAAATGGGAACTCCTTACAACTCCGGTTCAGGTTATGTGACAGAAAAACTTTACATGTTACTTCAACTTTATTTACAAAATAAAGGATGGAATCATGATTTCCTTCAATGTTTTTCTGAATTAAAAGATCCTTCAATGTTGCCAAGTGCAGCTTATTTGCAGTAAGTTGATTTCAGTTCATTATCAATACACTTATGTTTACTATCTTAAAGTTGATTAAATTCTGAACTTCTAGGATGATGGCATCTCGTATCACATTAGATTCTCAAGGTAGATTAATATTAAGAGAGAATGGAAAAATAATTTTGCCATTTGAACATTTTGCAAATGCTGTTATGCTCAAACATATGAATGGTCCACACGGCCTTCATTTAGGTCTTGAAGCTACCCTCCGAACTGTAAATATTATTTGTGTGTAAAAATGTTATGATATTTTTCTTAAATTATGCTGCTGATTTTTTTAAATAGGTTATGGAATCATATACAATGGGGCGTGAAAATTTCGGCATGGAAAAGGAATTTGTGATAGAAGTTGTAAATAACTGTCCAAATCCAGCTTGTCGTTATTATAAAACACAATTAGATCTCTCTCATAATAAGCCTACATATATTCCAGAACCTACTAGTAAGTAATGAACTTGTTCACTAGTGTTATCTCTTGCATGTTATATTAGAAGAATAATGAAACTAGTTGATTTATTCTATTTTTAATTTCTTTAAAATAAGGACTTTACTTTGCAAAAAGGAAGAAATTAAAAATATCAGTAAATTTTTTTTTTATCTAATCATTTGTTGGTATCTCCTAGCGTCTGAAAGGCACTGATTTTACGGTGTTAGTTTTCAATTTACTTTGGTAAAATGTTTGCTTCATAGCATTTGTCATTTTATATGAATTTGAGTAAAGTTGCCTTTACTAAGTTTAAATTTCAAAGTTATCTTTGTGTGAATTAAGATTTGAACCAGTGAATGTTAAAAGGACCTTTTCCAACTATTTGTTGTATCACACTTTGTATAATGTAGCAAAGGCTGTTCTTTAAAGAACCTTGAAACTCAAGTGTTTTGAATTGACAGTTTTATTAGCTACCCATAAACAAAATTCTCGTGTTTTAAAAAAATAAATATTTTTTAAATTTCACTCAAGTTGAAGTAATACCCTGAATAATGGAGAACTGTTGTTATAACATTAATCGATACATTTATAGTAGATGAGTTAATGCAATAACTTATATACTTTTTTTTTTAATCACCGTTGCGGAAGAATCACAAAAGATGTCGAATGATTACAAGTTTCACTTTAAGTAACTATTTCAGCATTGTCGCTATCAGATGTTGGAATTGGTCATAGTAATGTGTGACACTTTTTTTTTAGTCCATAAAATGAATTATTGAGAATATATTCATAACGTTCCCTGCTGACATGAATTAATAAAATCAATAGTATAACATGACCCCACTAAGCCAACAAATACTTAATGAATATAAAATTATTAAATTTTAAAACTTCAATCATTGATGTATATTATGTCTATATTTATGTATTTTTGTTTAATTTGGTATCTACGGGATAAATAAATCTAAATTTATTTTACTGTGATTATGCTATTTATCAAGAGATAATGTATTGACCTGTTTTTATTAGTTAACTTTTTGTAATATATTTTACAATAATTACCCTTATTGTGTTATTAGTGTTGAAAGCTAATTTGGGAGAGAGCAGCGGTAGTGATATAGAGAGAGTAAAAGGAACTCCTATTCCTGCCTCACAGAATCAACACAAACTAACAGATTTTCTCAAATCTAGCCTCGACAATTTAGATAGCCTAACTAGTGCTAACAAAGTAAGATTATTTTAACTACAAATAATAATTACAATTCCTGTGATTGCTTAGGATAAAAGATTTGATTATACTATTGTAGTCAGAAGGTTTATAAATTATTCTTATGATTGCTTTAAAGTTTTTTTTTAATCGTTTAAATAAGTGTAATATAATACTGAACAAACAGAATCATTACAAAAAAGTATTACTACAATAATTTGCTTTATTTGTAATTCTTTTAGTGACATTTTATAATGTGGAAGAGAACTATGGCTTTAATATTGTTTTGTTCTAATAATGTAACTTTCTAAGTAATTTAGTAATTTTTTTCTTTGCCTCAAATTGAAGAATAAAAATATGTGTGATTTAGCATTGTTTCATATTAATTGTTCATAGAAATTTTATTTATTTTAATTTGTAAGTTATAGAATTTTTCGATGCTTTAATAAATAATAAGAGTAACTATATTAATTTAAAATAAATGATATTAGGACCTCTTAGCTGTCCATAATGGAGCATGGTCCAGCCATGAAGCTGCCGAAAGTAAAAGGCATTCTGCGTCATCCAGTAGCGAAGGTAACAAACATAATTGTGGTTTTTCATTGATATAATCTCAAAGATTTAAGGTATAATATATATTATGTTCGCTTTGTTTTAGTTGGGCAAGAGAAAATAGTACGGGCTTTTGGAGAAATCATGAAAAATATGAGCAGAATGAAAACTTGTATTAGACCAGCCATGTGTAAACCTTATGGAAAACAATCAGAGTCATTACAAAAAAGTATATATTATTATTATTATTATTTCCTTTATTTACAATAAACATTTATTTTCTCGATATGTTGTATAGAAAAGTATGATTAATGTATTTTTTATTGTAATCTAAATGTTGTTAACAGTTTAGATTTGAAAACTTAAAAGTGTCTTACTTTGAGATGGAAGACACCTAATCTTAAATAATGAATTTTTCATTATTCATATTTTTTGTGCATATATTTGTCTTATTCTTTGTCACTACAGTAAAATTTTATTTTACTGAATTTATAAGGGGACGGCATAAAATTGTTTTGTTAACTTGTTTTATTCTCTATAAATTGTAATCAGCATTATGAAGAAATTTTAATGCTTACAATTAATTAATTCCAATTAAGATATATTTTTAGGTTATCCAATAATATATTTCTTTCTTTTTTTATAATAATTGAGTAATATCTATTTTCAGTTTAATTTGGGAATTTAAATAAATTTATTTAGTATAAAGTATAATTAACGTTGACCAAAGTTTTATTGTAATTAATAAATTACATTTAACAATTATGATTTTAGAGATTTTTTTTTTTTTATGTACAAATAAAAAACATAATTTTAAGCTCTGATGGATACGATACAGTTGGTACAGTCCTTACGATCAATACTACCACCTCCACATATTGCTGTCAGCAGCTGGAAGAATGAAGACAAACATAGGTATTTATCATCAATCAATGTAAAGAACAATGTGTAGACATTTTTATATATATATTTTCTTTTCTAGTGTGTCAAGAGAGGCATATTCTCAAGATTTCGCAACAATGGATAGAATGTAATAACCTACAAATATTAAAAATCGACAACTAACATCGGAAATCGAAAGAGGAAGATTAGATCATTATTACTAAGCATATGCGATGTATCTAGTCAAGTTGCTGGCCTGTGATATCAAGTACTCTTTTTCATTCATTATTTTGTAGTGAATTTGTTTTTAAATTTCATGAAATCAGTTTTATGTAAAGGAATGGTTGATTTTAGGAAAGTGCTTATTTAAAAGTATATCTGTTTTATTGAAATTTATTATTTTAACTAATTACTTTTCCTATTCAAATAAATATAATTCAGGATGCCGAATTATTTAACAAACTTTACAAAAACTTATTAAATTGTGATGCATTGAAAAATAGAGATTGGAATTTCTTACTGATCTAACCAAAATGTGTAATATGTCCGATAGCAAGTGTATTTAGTTTCTATTCAATTAGAAATATTAAAATTACTAAGTTATTTATTATCAAGGTATTCTGGAAAAAAAAAAAGAATATCAAACCATTGCTTATAATAATTTTTGCCATTGTTAAAGTATTACTGCTTGCTCTTTAGTATCATAGTCCTGTGTTAGTTTCTTGGAAGAACTAAGTCCCAGAGAAATATAAAATAAATCAGAACATCACTTTGCTTTAAAAAATAATTCTTTGAAAATTTTATATTCATTATTTACTAATGGTATAATCATTTGGGACTTTCTATCTATATATTTACTTTATAAAGTTAATGCTGTGTTTAAACATTTGCATTACATATTCACAACTACTTATTTACTATTCAAATATTTATTTATCTTTATATTTTTTAATATAATATTTTTATTATGTAAATTACATTATAATTATAAAAAAATTAATTTAATTTAAGTCTAGGTAAAACTAGTTAATTCATGTGTAACTGCTTCATTATATTCATTATGAATAGTTAAATAACTTTATTTTATTCTATGCAATTTTATGGAATTATTTTATTTACACAATAATTTTTTTTAAAAATGGTACCAGACCACATCCAGATCTCTAGAGTCCTAATTATAAACAATTAGCTATAAAATGCACATAATATTTTGATAATAATATTAATATTTTGAAAATTTGTTTCTCTCTTAAACACCTTTTTTCATCAGCTAACCAAACACAAAACAAACCAAAGAATTTTATTCGAAAATTCACGAAAATGATAGGCTTACACAGAAATGTGTTGACGTGAGGTTTTCCAAAACATAAATTTCTAGGCAAATCATCAATGAAACTATTTTGTTTTATTTTATCTACTAAAGTGCACCTGTGAAATCTGCTTAGTCCAAAACCTCTTTTAAAATAATTTTTGTACCCATTCCGAACTAAATTAATTAGTTGAAGTCTACTGAATTTTTGAATCCCTTCCGGATCAGCGGGACTCTACTGTAACTGAATTGTAACTACTCAACCACCCCCCTGGCTTAATGTTACAAACCTTGTAGTACAAATAATTGTTTGTGACTTGAGATAAATGTCAAGCTATTCGCAAGCTCTAAAGAATATTAACTGATCACATAAGTATTAATTAAAACAATTATTACAAGTGTTTTATTTAGAAATTATTCCCGATATTAAACTTTTATCGGCCAAATTCTGATTGTTTTTCCCCAGAAAACCTAGAAGTAACTCATTGTAGAATAGTATACTATTAAAAAATTCAAGATTTTATATTAAAATGATTTGACTTCATTTTACGTAGTTTTTTTTTACGTAACTAGAGTTTCATTATTTTCACTCAATACTTTTATTTAAAAATAGCAATTATCTTTTAGTTATGTTTTTGTTAATCAGTTTTGCCCATGCATCACTGAAGTTTAACATGAATAAATAAAATTGGAGAATGATGACTTCATTAGGAATTGGATTGCTCGCCTTGTCGATTCCATTGTGCAAACTAAATAATCAACATAATATCTTTAATTATGGATATTCACTTCACCGTTTTAAGATTAAGTATAAAAAGCTTTTTAGATCGTATTGTATTGTTCGCCTTGCCGATTACATTGTTCAAACTTTGTATTGTTCGCCTTGCCGATTCCATTGTGCAACTTACATAATCAACATAATATCTGTGATTATGGACATTCACTTCACCGTTTTAAGATTAAGTATAAAAAGCTTTTTAGATCGTCAATTCTTATTGATATGTTACTGATGGGGAGGGGGGACTAGTCTGGCAAATGGCTCTTGTATTCCTTTTTGCTAACCTCAGAGGTTCGTACCGGGTATTTACCCAAGTAGGTATGTCAGGATTAACTTCTCAGGAGATAATATTAAACGACTCCAGGTGGAAATCGAAGCCATGACTTTCAGAATCAGTCACTCAGGGACCACACTCCAACTTGTTTGGTCATAGTGTCCTCTTATTGATAGGTTTCGCATTCTATTAATCAGCTTTTAGTTATGAATGATTATTGTCCGATAGGAATCACGCGTCAAACTACATTAGTTTAATTAAGTTGCAACATCAATTTTGAGTTGTTGATAAAATTTTAGAGTATGTGGTTTTCATAGCTTTAAAATGTTCTGTAAATGGATGATAGAGATTAAAAAAAATCTTATGGAGCGACATAAAAGCATTACAAATGTTATAGCTAAGTTTTTCACCAAATTAAAAAAATTAAATACAATTTTTTTTTTTACTTTCAACAGATTTCAAGCATCACTATACTGAATATTGATATTAAGTCTTTATTTTTTTCCTATCTATACAATACTCTCTTTGTAGATATTACTGTACAATATTTTTAATTTTAATAATAATAATACTAGTAGAGATTAACAGTTATTGTTATTGTTAGATTTGTGGCAAATGTACACATACATGATTTTTTTTTTATAATGACAGTTATTAAGAATTTGTAATTATTATCACATGAAATGTGATAAATAAGGTAATAGTAATAATAAGATAAACAATGTTTTACTATTTACATTATCTAATTCTATATAAAAATTGTAGTAAATTAGTTTCTTTTCTGCTAATTAGTTATTTTAGGTTAATTTTAATCTATTCCATGGTATCAGAATTTTCACAACTTTATTAGTATTTAATGACCAAGTTATAAGACATTACGATTAATGTAAATAATTAGTGTTAGTTTAATATTAATTGTATGTATCACTTACATATTTACTTTTTGGCCTTGATTACTTGAAAATTGAAACATTATACATAAAGGTGTCAAACATTTTTTTTTCTCACCCCTCAGAATTTGATAGCTGAGCCTCTAAAGGGCGTTTAAAGCTAGGAGTTTACTATAATAATTGTTATTAATATTGGATTTAAATCTGTAGATGTTAAATTAGACACAATACAGAATCTCAAATCCATAGATCTTTCGTAATGAGTTAAATTTGGTTACATATTCATAGAAGTAAGTAGATATTACTTATAATTAATATAGCTTACAGTATTTTCTAGTTATACTGATTCAACATGAATGTAAATATAAACATCGAGTTGTCTACAATTTTACAAGTATTGTTGAAAATTTTATGCCTTGAATAGACATAATATAAGTCACATTTTATTTTCTACATTATAAAAAAAGTTTTACAATTAATTAGTATATTAAATAATTTGCAATATAATTGTAAACATAATCATTGATTATTGTTGAAAAAAATGGATCAGAACTCATCTTTTAACCAGTGATATCAAATTTACTGATAATATGATATGATTTACTTAAAATGCTGTAAGTTACATAATAATTATGATATTACATTTATAACTCATAACTGTTTTAGCTATTGATTGATCGAGTTACTTTTTATTATATTATCTTTTAATATTGTAATAGTATAAGCGATTGTGGTTTGTTTGTAAACTCTCTTTTGTTTATTTCCATAATTTTTATTATAATGATAGTTCTAAGATTAAATTAGTAGTATTATCATCGTCCTCTGTAAATTATGTAAATAATGTTACTAAGGTGATATTATTTCTTGCTTGTACAGTATTTGTATATATATTTTATTTTATTTTATTTTATGTTAATTGTTACATTAGGTAAATGTTCTTAATTGTGTTTATATATTCTAGTTTTTATTTCTATCCATTAGTTGTTATTTATTGTTGTTATGCATAAACATTTTTGTGTATTTATAAATTTTTTAAATATTATTTTGACTTAATTTCTTTTTCAATGACAACATTATTTGTATAAATATTAAATATTTTAAATTAAAAAAATTCTCAGTTTCTGCATATTTATAAAAGTCTTTGCACATTACCTAAACCATGGCAAACATGACCGCACTGACGGACTCAAGGAGATGATCTAATATCAGTTTTTAAGTACAAATCAAAGAGGTCTTGCGGAAAGTGCTACATGTACTCACTAAATACAACTTCTCTTATTTTCTTTAATATGTTATTAAATAGAAACATAATATTTCTACTGATAAAAAAAAACTTAATTTATTGTTGAAATCAAGCAATTTATGATAGCGCTATATATCGGGTATTTAAATTTCAAATACAAAGCACTTTTTCTGTTAACAATCTAAATATTTGATGATTAAAATTGTATTTCAGAAGCACAAAATACTTGGTATTTGAAAAAAAGTATTTTGAAATACCAAGTGAAATATTTATAGGTCTGCCATATAATATATATAGTTATTAAAATTTATATAATATAATATATTATAATAACTATATCTAAAAAAACAGACGGGCTTTTGCAATTTCAATTTTCAGAGCAATCATGATTAATAAAGCAATTGAGGACAAGTAGATTAGGGGGGAAATTTAATGTTACAGTAATACAAAAGTACCTAGTCAGTGACTGACGAAACCTGTAGGTAGGTTCAGATAATTTTAACATAATTAATCAAGAATTTGATAGAAAAGGTATGAAAATAGCATGTGCATATAAAAATAAAGTATTCATTAGAAAGGGACGACGAATCGTCAATGAGATTAATTGCAAAACTATTGTCACATTACTAAAAGTGAAATATTAGGAAAACAGTTTTTT